CAGTCTGAGAAGTATCTGAGTGAGTGTAATATAGTGTGTGTGTGATTGGTTACAGCTGTGTGCAATCAGTGCAATGGATGATGGGATATGTAGTCCGGGATGACATGCAACAGTTTGTGTAGTGTGAGAGTCAATGTAACGGAGGGGTGACCTCTGGTGGCTATCGGACGGAAGTCCATGGACAGGATTCGTGACAATGACGGCGTTTCGTTCCTGAATGAATCAACCGTTTTAAATTATTTGGTTCAATCGCAATGACTCACTTATTAACAGTGACTTGCTGCCACCTACTGGCAGCTTTAATTTCACATTTAAAGTATCTTTTCTTTTTTTTTTTTAAATAATTTCAAATATCAGTATTCAGGTAAAAGTGCCCATAAAAGGTAAAAATCAATTTAAACTTATTGGAAAAGATTAATTTCTATCACTGCTGTGAAATGATCACCACACAGAATATGAAGAATATCAAAAACATTAGGAGTCAGCTGTCCATGGTAGTCCTTAAGACATCAGCACAATAACACACTCAGCAAAATATCAATTATCGTTATCGATAAAATCCCAGAAAATAGATATATTTTTGTCAGTATCGCACACCCCTAATATATTTAAAGTTTTGATTAGAAAAAAATTAAAATAAATATGAGAAGTGCCCTTTTTTCCACTTGAGCCCCTGCCCCTCAAAATGTCTGTGCACGTCCCTGCTCATCACTTAGAAAAGTAATAGCACATCTGAACTATGCACTTAAGTTTAATACTTGAGGATAAAGGTTTAGAACGAACCCATAGGCATAAGTATGGGCAATAGTAATATCTCAGCAGCACATATCTAACTCACCCTCCACCTCCCGTGATGTAGCTGTAGCCGTCCCTGCTAAGCCCATAGCCGTAACGTTCTCCAACACTCACAGCTTCATTTGGATCATAACATCCCAGCAGCCTCCGCAGTCTGGGTAGACTGGAAGACAATGGTTATATAGTACAATAAATGTCAAATATGCACAATGTCAGTTTACCAAACAGGTATTTCTCATAAACAAACTAACCATAACAATAAACATCAGGTGCCAACTATTACTATAGGTTAATATAGGCATAGACTGAACATATTAACAAAAATCCAGTAACTTTATTTATTTATTTATAACTTGAATCGACATGCACAGCTGACAAAATTTCTCTATATTGTAATCATTATGATCACACTTGTAATAATCGCTTTAATGAACTTCTGCTTCAAATTAATTCATGTTGACTAGCTGTATGATTCTATTATCTTGAACTGTTCATTTGTGAAATGAACATTACTTGGACACATTCACTTCTGCTTTGTAATGTAGACACATGCATTTTCTGTAAAGCTGCTTTGAAACAAAGTGTATTGTGAAAAGCGCTATACAAATAAAATAAAATTTAATTTATTTCTTTTCTACCCATCCAACGTTTTGGCCTGTCGTCAGCCCTGTGTTTCCAGCACTCCTTGCTATATTAGCAAAAATGCACATTTGGATGAAAACACAATATATTAAAATAAACGCAATACAAAGTATTTTTAAAAAGACTTAAAAGAGACTTCACAGCCATGTGAATTCCAGTCCAAATTTTGCTCCAGTTTCAGAATTGTGACCTTATGTGCTTTGCCACACAATGAGAGTATTTTCGTGTGGGCGTATTTGATTTTCAGGTTTGTGCCTGATTGCTGGATTATAATTCTGCAGATGGTATGAAAGACAGACTTTTAAATTCAAAATGACATGGGTTGTCATATTTTCAATTAAGCACATGCATCTTAATGCATTTAAAGTTCTTTTTTATCTAGTGGTAAGTCCCCTTAAAGTCATGACTTCTGATGATCTTTCACCAGTGTAAAGAAACCGCATTCACCTGATCAGTGTGTCATCATCAACTATGAGCAACCAAGGCGCTTGTGTTACTGCCCCACTCGCAAACCTCTTCAGGATGGCAAATGTTTTTGCACAGTGCCCTGTAAATACAAGCACAGTTTGTAACTAATCTATACAGGCTTTCTGGATGGTGTTCCTGCAATATGTTGGTATAAAGGGGAAGAAAAACAGCAGCTGAATGTCTTGAACGAGACAGGAGACTCAACTCTTTTGGGTCTTTTTTATGTTCTAAGAATTCTTAGCAGACTGAAGACAGACAGAAGGAGAATGTGGGGTCTGCTGTACTACAAAAACCTTTTTTCACTTACCACCAGGGGGCACAGAAATGATTTGACAATTAGGGGAGTGTGCCTTATCACCCTGGCTTATGAATATTAATTAGATGTCAAATTTGTCCAGTAGCAATTACTGATTAGCTGAATAATAGGTGCTAGATTATATTTTTTATTTTTATGTATTTATTTATTAGAAATACTGCTTGCTATTCAGTACCAAACCACTTAAAGGGGTCATATGATGCTGCTAAAAAGAACATTAACTTTTATAAAGAATATCTCTTTGGATTTGAGACTTTATTCTTTGCAACTTTACAGATCTTCTTTATGCACCAAGAGCTTGTAACACTCCAAAGAGAAAGGAAAAATTGAAATCGCATCATATGACCCCTTTAAAGCAGTTTTTGTATTTGGCAAAAAAAAATTTTACATGGTCATTTCTACATAAACAGTGTTTAAATAGAATACTGATTTAAAGTTTTTTTAATAACTGTGATTTTTTTTATGTTTTAGAAATGATAAAGCTTATGCTCATAAAGACTGCATGTATTTGGTCAAAAACAGTAAACAACAACAGTAGTAAAAACAGTAATATTGTTTCCACAAAAATATTCTTGTGTTCAACACTGATAATATAAAAATCATTATTAATAACTGAGAATCACTAATGATTGCTAATAAGCGAGTACCAAATCAGTATATTAGAATGATTTCTGAAGGATCATGTGACACTGAAGACTGGAGTAATGATTGCAGCCATCACAGGAATAAATTGCATTTTAAAATATATTAAAACAGAAAACAGTTATTAAAACTAATAATATATCACAAAATTCTTGTTTTACTGTATTTTTGATCAAATAAATAAGCACAGGACTTTGTGAGTTTGAGAAAAACATTTAAAAATTCTAATTATTTCAACCCAAAAATATCATCAACACCAAAGCATTCATACCCACAGCAAAACAAACTAATCATATGCAATGATCACAATCAAGCCAAATTGGATGTAATCATGAGCTTGGCCCAACACTAACTATCCGCCTCACCCTGAGATCCCTAGAGATTAAACTGGACCTGATCAACAAACAACGGAATCAATACCACCATTGTGGTTCATTCCAAATACCTTTGACTTTTCTGGCTCTTTTCTGTTAAGGGGATAGAACAGAGGAGAAGTGGTTGAAAACGACTGAGAACAGAGGTGGTGAGATCGGAAAATTACATGGATTCAAAAGCTTGAGTTGCCCACTGCACAATGTGTCTGGCCCTTCCATTTCTTTAGGCTGCACTGGAATTTTCTTGATTCTAAGAGGCCCCATAGCTTCCATTAAAGGTTTGCCATTGTTGGATGGAAATGCACCCTGATGACTGTGCCGTTACATAGGAACATTCCAACATTTCTGTGGTAAATTACAGGGTTCGAAAGAAACCACAAGGATTAGAGTCAGTGTGGTTCATAAGGCCCTTCGCTCTTAGATAGATAAGAAGAGATGATACATAAGCAAAATTGGCTGCTCAAAAAAATTGCTCAAAAACTCATGAGCAAGACGGTGCAGATGATTCCCTCGGCTTGGGTTCAGGAGGTTAATAGTGGCTCTGTGACACTGCGAGGATGAGTAAAAGAGTGGTTTAACAGAGTGACAGAGGGAAAGAGAGGTGCTACAAAAGCTCTGCAGCACCCATGAAAGAGAAGCTCTCCTAGGCAGTCGAATGAGAAGGTCAGCCAGACACAGGCTGAGGGATGGGGAGCGGACAGGAGGAGGACAGAACAAAACATACTGAAAGAAGCTCCGGAACACCGACTCTCTGGATCTGTGGGAGTAATGTCTTTTCAGAGCATTACCACAGCACAGCTGACTGAGCTCTCCTCTATACACACTCACACACACACACCCCCAAGAGAAGACTTCTCACTCCCCCAGACGCTAAGCTCTTCATTCTGGTGCAGAGACAAAGAAACTGAGAGAGACAAAAAGATGGGTGCAGAAGTCTAATTTAGGGGACAGGTGTTGAGAGTCCTCAGAGACTATTCTCAGCTCTTTCATCATAAGCAAATTTCCTGGAGATGAACACTGCATGTATGATGTTTTTGAGTTTTGGCCACTAGCTGGAGGGACCTGAGAAGAATTTGAAGGGAGAAGAATGTCTCCAGGCTGACACTGCAGTCAAATATATTGTGCGTTTAAAATGAGTATACTTAAAAATTAAGAATGTCCCACTGATTGAGAGTTGAGTAACACATAACTAACCGAAACTCATTAAAATGACTGACATGAATAAGACAGCAAATATCACTTTTAGACTTACTGTACTGGCATCCATCTATCTATCTGTCTGTCTGTCTGTCTATCTATCTATCTATACCTGTCTGTCTGACTGTCTGCCTGTCTATCCATCCACTTGTCTGTCTGTCTATTGGAAGAAGGCATTATTATTTCTGTCTTTGCAGCAAACTTGTCAAACAGAAGTCCATTAACAAATGTGCATAAACAGCAGAGGAAAATGGCAAGCACAAAGGAATATTTACCGTGACGAGTAAACTGATGTCAATCGACTGGTAGCAACCAATGCCCCATCCATTAAGCTTCAGGCTATGAATAAAACAAACGTTCTGACTTTACAAAATTTGACATCGGACTGTTTTCCATAAAAGACACCACAATACATTTTGCACATCACAAAGAGGGAATGATAAAGTCCATTTAAATGTTTCATTTCGAAGACTTTGTCTCAACCTGTGACCCAAAACCATATAAAAGTACAATGTGAGCCATGTTCTTAAAGGATACAATACGTCTTCCTTTGTTATTGTGTTTTTTTTTAATCCCACTCGTAATGGTTCTTTTCAAATGCATAACTCAGACTGTGTAATTCAGTTTGACAAGTTGATGCTTGTCTAAACATAGTAAGTGATTAAAAACCATATATAAAGGAGTGTTGCATGTTCCTCAGAGATCATGATGGATAAATGGTCACAGTGGAACACTGAACCTGTTGTCATCCCAAAATAAGTAACAAGAGACAAACCTCTCTCCGTGTTAGGGACTCCCAAGTGGATTGTGGGTATATATGGGTCTGTGATGTCACTGTAGTATTCCAACGAGGCAGCATCTTTTTCCCAAGTTTGTTTAACTAAAGGAACTGTGAAGATACATTTGTGCATGCAGTTTAAGATAGTATTACATTTACTTGAGATTATAACATCCATATGAAAGGGTAAAAAGATAAATAAAAATCAATAAATCATATGAAATTAATAACTTCACAAAAAATATATCCTGCTGTAAATCTGCAGATGTTTTACCAGCACTGATATTTATGATCTTTGTAGCCACACACAAAATGTTGTAGTATTTCATGCTGCCTGGAAAGTTTGATAAAATCAAACTCTAAACATAACCATGCAAATCGGTGCAATTATGCCTGACCAGCTGCCAAATTGAATCTCTCCTGGAATATAAACCAGCATTTATACCTGTCCTATTAGACAGTACAGAGAGAGCGGAGAAGAGGACTGGGGAAAGAGTTGTCTTTGTAAGTACAATGTTTCTGAAAAGCCACAATGGAACTTTGTGTGGCTATAATCAGCTAAATCAATTCATTGTTACTTACAAACATCATGTGTGGGCCGAGACACGAAGCGACTGACAGTTGTAATTATTCCCTTTTATTATTGTCTTTCTGTAATCCTCTCAACGCATGGCTTGGTGGGCTTTTTCTGCTTTGCAGGCTTTACTTTTTAATCAAGACTGAATGATCCAATCCATTTTAAACACACTGTTGCCAAAAATCTAAATTAAATAAAAGCTAAGCTAAATAAAACATGCAGTCATAGATATTTGTAAGAAGCAAATATTTCTCTCTCTGTAAATGGCATCTAGTGTATCTTAAAGTCTAATACTGATGGCAATGATAAAGCAGAGGAAGTGTGTAGTTTCTGCATAATAGTTACCAATCGCAGAAAAATACTATCAATACATTTATTTTTTATTTTTAGTTCAAGTTAGTTAATAATGAAAACTAAACTCCATTACTCATGTGAACATATACAACCTTAATATTAGAATGTATTATTGCATGCAGAAATTAACATTAAACAAAATTATTAAATACTGTAAACTACTGGTCATTATTAGTTTGTTACAAACCGTTTTACCTAAAAAGCCCTGACTTCACCTTTAAAGTTTGGTTAGTTATGATCCAATCATGGTCTTTATCTGTTTTTGAAGAACGGGCTGACTACACCCACCTCTATCTCCATGAAATCTTTGACATGTTTTAACAGCAACAAAGACGTCCTCCTTCTGCACAGGGTTTCCCTACAAAGAACATAAAAGATATTTACAGCAGTGTGGTGTCTGCTACCAATCTGGGTGTTACAGTATTTGGGGGAAAACCAAAGTACCGCTTGTTCCTACATTATATAGTAGGACTTAGGACCATTAAAGGAGTAGTTCACTTCCAAAACAAAAATTTACAGATAATGTACTCACCCCCTTGTCATCTAAGATGTTCATGTCTTTCTTTCTTTAGTCGTAAAGAAATTGTTTTTTGAGCAAAACATTTCAGGATTTCTCTCCATATAATGGACTTCTAGGGTGCCCCCGAGTTTAAACTTCCAACATGCAGTTTAAATGCAGCTTCAAAGGGCTCTAAACGATCCCAGCCGAGGAAGAAGGGTCTTATCTAGCGAAACGATCTGTTATTTTCTAAAAAAAAATTACAATTTATATTCTTTAACCTCAAACGCTCGTCTAGCTCTGCGTAAACTCTGCTTTTTCAGGTTCAAGACAGTTAGGGTAGGTCTAAAAACTCCCATCTCATTTTCTCCTCCAACTTCAAAATCGTCCTACATCGCTGTTTTACCGTTTTTTTGTAAAGGGCGTTTGATCTTCTTTGCATGTTCACTTTGTAAACACTGGGTCGGTACTTCTGCAGCGATGTAGGACGATTTTGAAGATGGAGAAGAAAATGAGATGGGAGTTTTTAGACCTACCTTTACTGTCTTGAACCGGAAAAAACTGAGTTCACGAAGAGATAGACAAGACGAGCGTTTGAGGTTAAAAAGTATATAAATTGTAAACATTTTTTTAGAAAATAACAGATCGTTTCACTAGATAAGACCATGCTTCCTCGGCTGGGATCGTTTAGAGCCCTTTGAAGCTGCATTTAAACTGCATTTTGGAAGTTCAAACTCGGAGGCACCATAGAAGTCCATTATATGGAGAGAAATCCTGAAATGTTTTCCTCAAAAAACATTATTTCTTTACGACAGAAAAAAGAAAGACATGAACATCTTGGATGACAAGGGGGTGAGTACATTATCTGTAAATTTTTGTTCTGGAAGTGAACTACTCCTTTAAGTTATTACAGAATGTCTGTGTGTCAGCTTTGAGTGGACACTTTGTATAAAGTGGCTTATTTCGAGGATTATGAACTCATAGGCTTTTGATTATCACTCAGAAAGAACAACAAATGTGAAAAGCCACAAGCAGGAATTTGGCATTCACGTTTGAAGACTGTCATTTATTAGGGCATTAGAGCAAGGAAATTCAATGACAACTGACTATGACATATTAATACGCCTTGACTTTCTCTTGGGAGATTTGTCATAGTTTTATTAATTCACATGGCTGAGAGTTTGTATAAATCTCTCTGAACAATTGTAGAAGGTGTGTTAGCATTTCTAGTACTTACACAGGCAGACAAGTAGGTGTTGATGGTCGTAGCACAATTTCCTGTTGAGGACAAGCTTTGTAGCTCTGAGCAAAACTCATTCACCACAGTCAAAGCAGGACCTCTGCCTTCCTCCCAAATGTAGAGGGCAATCTGAAACATCAATAAGAGAAGCAAAGCATGACTTCTTCTAGAAATTACTATTAAGAGTTGTACTGTAGAAACAGTGCAATTAAAACAAAGAACTAAGCACTTCAGAGATCAGAGAAAGAGAGTGTATCTTGTAAACAAATAGTTCACCAAAAATGTAAGTCACAATAATATGAATTAAATAAAAGATTTTCATGGAAGGATGATTAAATTGCACTGTAAAATGATACACTGCTCTGGTACTTTTATAGTGGCTCTTTGGAACTTGATGTCACAACGTGGTTGTGAGGTTAGAGTAAACGCACGAGGAAGATGAATAAGGTCATCTTTAATAATCCACAAAGCAAGAGTCCACACCGACCAACAGTCCAAACAAAACCTTAACAATGACGACACCAGACAACCAAACACAAACGGAACTGAACTTAAGTAGAGGAGATAACGACACACACACCTGAACATAAAGATTAAATCAAATGAATCACCATGACAACAAATGAAAGACTGAAAGACATGACCAGTAAGTAAATGACAACAGGATTTTCATTTTTGGGAGAACTATCCCTTTAAGAACAAGACAGATGCCAGTCGGTATGACCAGAGGCTTTTGAGCAGACTCTTAAGAGTACTGCATCAATAGAGATCACAAAAGTAGCACTGAGAGTTCTCTCTGGAACATACAGTCTGATTTTTATCAGCGCGAGAGAGAGAGAGAGAGAGAGAGAGAGAGAGAAGTGATGGCAAGAGAAAAGGAGAGGGAGCGTCTTTCAATGTCACACAATTAAATGACAGCTCCTCCATAAAAATATCAATGCGGATTAATATATACACCAATATTCCCGTAGGCAAATGGCATATTATTTCAACAGGAGATGCAAGACATTTTGAATTGAGGTGTGACATCAAAGGAGAGTATAGATATTGGAATGATAGATCTGGAGAGGTGGGGAAAAAAGTCTATTATCTGTGTCTGGGTTATTTTGGAAAATAATGTCTTTTGTTGAGATGCTTTCTAGCTGATGCATTAGAGCAACTTCCATTACAAATTATTCATATTTACAACAAAAAATCAAGCACTTTCATTGCAAGATAATGAATATTTACCAAACAAACAAAAAGAGCATATGTACACTGAAATATTTTGTGATCTTTCTCACCTCATGTTGAAGGTCAATTGTGAAATCTGATTTGGGCGGCTCATAATTCACACGCTCTGCAGTTCTGAGATACCAGATCAAATAATATCTGTATTAAAAGTGTAAAGTAGCAGTTTGCTGAAGAGGTACGCAAAAGGCACAGAGATGAAATCTAACCGCTTAGCCAGGGGGCAACTGAGGGCCCAGCCAGCCATGAAGTCAGGGTAACTGAAACTGTAGGGGTCCTCTGAGAAAGCATAATGGTGGATAATTGTTGGTTCATCATCATGGAGGGGTCTGCCCAGAAACCACTCCTATGGAGAAAAAAACACTTGGGTAAGAAACAGGAGGCTTTCATGTGCCAAGTCCTATTTCAGACTGCTCTTTCATTACCTCAAGTCTGCAGGAGAAGGTTTTATGTATTGTGTTGACATAGAGATTCTACCTTTTCTCCAGGGAATGCTAGTTCATGGAGTAGTAGCACTTTGTAAGAATCTGCAACGCTTTATTTTCAATTCACATGGACTAAATAGCATTATCCAAGATGTTGTGGTACAACATTTTGTTTTCAATTCAGTGACAATGAGAGTCAAAAAATATATTTTAACAGGGAGGACAGAACAGTCAGTCCTGTTTATAATTTCTGTGTAAGATCCAAATCCGTAATGCCCTCACATTCATTTTTTTGTTTACTGACATTATGTTTGGGTCTCTTAAGGGAAAAAATAAAAAACAGTACAGGTAACATTTCACACAATCAAGAAACAATTCATGAGAGAATGGATCCCTAAGGGCTTTCTCGCAGCTGCTGATGATGGGATGTCTGAAATTAAAGTGACATAGAATTTCAAGTGCTGCGTGTCCACAGAGTGAAAAGTACATTTGGTTGAGAAAGTAAATGAGGACAACACTTTTCGACTGCTTTCTTGAAATTCTGCATACCCAGTCTCAGTGACATGATTAACGCTCAGTACCTCAACCAATGACATGCTCTCTTAGTTTTTCTGATTCAAATACAACGATTGTTGCTCTAAGAGAGCCACAGTAAACAAAGTGTTAAGTCTTGATATTACACTTTTGCAGTAACAATAGCTGAAAGACTGAGAAGTCTGCAGCTCACCTTTCTTGTGTTGAATTTGCTCAGCACCTGCAGAAGGTTGTGTAAGTTCACATTGGTCTCTTCTTCCAAAAACACAATCCACAAAGATGTTAGACAGTATTGTGAGGCAAGGCTGTAGACAAGAAAAACAAGAATACAGTTGCATAAAATGTGTTAAATGCATAAAAGACCACCTCTTGACATGTCTTGAGTGTTTATTCATAAGGTCGAGTAAATTCTGTGTTTTGTTTGTTTTTGAGTTTTACCGTGGCAGTGCCGGAAGAATGCTCCAGTTCCCATCATAGTCTGACAGCTTGTGAAGGAGCACAACATCTGGTGAACTCTGCAATACAGCACAAAATCTGGTAACATCTCAAACGAACAACACCCAGATAAGGGGTTTTTGCACAGTGTTATTCATAACTCAACGCATTCTAACAGGTGATATTGACTAAGGCAGAAAGCAGTTCTTCATGCAGGTGACAGAATTATCATTAAAAGCTGACAGGTCATTTATAAATAAACATGTAACAATTGATATGCATGAGTTCACAGTTAATCCTATTTTAAAGGTCAAGGTCAAGGTCAAGTTTATTTATATAGCACCTTAAAAGCAACAAGTGCTGACCAAGGTGCTGCACAACCAAAACATCAGAAAAATCAACCAACAAAAGCATTAAGACAATATAAAATTTGAAATAATTAAATAATGCAATAAGTAATGCAAAACATCACCAAACAAAGAAACAAACAGAAAAAAATAAAAATAAATGTCAAGTTAAGCAAAAGCCTGAGAAAAAAAGATATGTTTTAAGAGATGATTTAAAAGAAGATAACGTAGGGGATGATCTGATGGATAAAGGCAAAGTGTTCCAGAGTGTAGGACCAAGAACTGAAAAAGCTCTGTTCCCTTTAGATTTTAAACGAAATTTTGGGACAATCAATAACTTCTGAGAAGACGATCTAAGCGTTCTCACAGGAGAATAGAAATGGAGAAGATCTGAAATGTAAATTGGGGCAAGACCATGAAGTGCTTTAAAAACTAAAACTAAAACCTTAAAATCAACTCTGAATTTAACAGGTAACCAGTGAAGTGAAGCTAACACAGGGGTAATATGCTCCCTCTTTTTTGTCCCTGTCAAAAATCAAGCAGCAGCATTCTGTACCAACTGTAAACGTGATAGTGAAGACTGGTTAATTCCAGCATAAAGAGCGTTACAGTAATCCAGCCGGGTTGAAATGAATGCATGAATAACAACCTCTAAATCATT